TGGTAAATTAACCATGTATTTTAATGTGCATGATCACACTAAGTATTTAATCTGCATTAAGTATTTTGGTTAGTAATTAATCCTGAGCCATGAGTTAACCCTGAATCATGAAACCTTCATTGACTTTCCTGAAAAGCACGTAGGGCATAGTTGATGGCCATCATAATGGCATCATAGTTCTTGGGGGGCTCCTTTTGACTAGAAAGATATGTGTACAAGTTCTGAGGATCCCTATGCCTGTGTTTTGCATGCTCTCAGTATGACTGTGGTGCCCAGGAGTTTCTGTCTATGCATGCCAACATCCCTATTTATGTGTGTTGCAGTAATTAAACACACAAAGGCCATTGTGTTCAACACCATACGGTGAGAACCTGCAGGAACTTCGGATTCTGCTGTGCTGAGAGGATGTTCTTGGAGGCTGTGGGTGGAGTGGTGGCTTAGCTGGCTTTAGAGGCTCTCCCTAGCTGCTGCTTGAGGCTAGATGGGTGAGAGAAAAGGACGGAAGCAGCGAGGCCAGTTAAGAGACTCCTGGACTATCCGGAACGAGACGTCAGCAGCTTGGAGAAAGGTGATAGAATGGAGGTCGTGCAAAGCAGTCAGATTCTGCCTAAATTCTGAAGTTGAAATCAAGAAGATTTTTTAAGCAGGTTTTTAAAAATTGATGTATGTTTGTAATACATGAAAAATTACATTCCTTTTGGGGAAATTGGTGTGTGTACACACAGAGAGACACACACATGGTATCTTGATTATTTTTCATGTCTGCCCTGTAACCTTCCCTCTTCCCTCTTCCTTCTCCATCACTTCTCCAAAAAGTCTGCTTCTCTGTTTTCTACCCTCTTTCCTTTCTGTGATTCTTTATTTATAGTTTGGGTTTCTCATATATGAGAAATTATGTGGTATCTAACATTCTCTGTCTGACTTATTACACAACATCATAGTCTCAAAATCTGCCCATTTTCTACAAATGACTGAGTTTATCCTTCTTCGTGGCTGCATAATGCTCCATTGTGGATATATGCCACATTTTCTTTAACAATATTTGTTACTGGATGTGGTTGGTTGTGAAAAATGGGGCTCAGCATGACTCTAAGATGTTTGGGCTGAACAAGTGAAAGGATGGAATTTCAAGGATAAACTGATCCAGTGGGTGGGAGAACGGGATTTGGGGAGATGCTAACATGTGCCCGGCATTCATGCTGTTCTTCACCTGCTGGTGCCTGGATGCATCTGAGTCCTATCCCAGAGTCCTACCCCTGGCTCTCTTTAGACCCCAACTCAGCTTCCCATCCTGTTCTTGTGTCTTTGGAGAATGATCTGCCATGATGATGTGGTCAGCACATCAGGATCCAGGTGGGAACAGGTTTGGGAAGGTTTGGGCCATTACCTGTCACTTCCCCTGCATATGGACTCAGTGATTCATTCCAGGCAGCTGTTTTGCTGTTAATTGTAATGACTCGTGTTATTATGTGAGAAACGGTAATTAGCAGTCCTTATAGTTAGAATATATGATGTGTAACATGGTATACATCCCATAATAAACTCGTCATAAAGAATTGCTGAGAGAGGTTATTGAGAGAGGTCCTCCAAAATCGTGATCCCAGTGAAAGGTCTTCCCTTTGTGATTATGATTTGATGGCTTAGCTTACCATATATATTAGTCCATTTCTCATTACTATGACAGAACACCTGAAGCAGGATAACTTTAAAGAGGTTTACTTAGCACATTATTTGGGCTGCTGAAGAGCATCTCCTAGATTGTGTCCCTATGTGGTCGATGTGAAAAGCAAGAAATCACATCACTAAAGAGGAAATAAGGGAGAGTGGTGGTCCATAAGCGCTTCTAAGAACTCTAGGTCTCCCACTAGGACCCATCCTCAAGGTCTCACGAGTTCCCAGCACTGCCATCCTGCGGACCAAGCTTCCAGCACAAGAACTTTGAGGGCACACAGAATATTCAGACCATGGGATATCCCAGGTGTGGGCATTGCGGTTTCCTGTGTAGGTGGATCACAGGGGCCTTCTCAACGTGCTGGTTTCAGTGTGGTGTTGTTAACATTACTTCTAACATTACCTCCAGATAAAGATGCTACTGTCACTGGGCTGAGGACCGCATTTCCAGGGCATAGTTCTTGTTAAATTGCTGGAGTCTCTTCAGTTTTTCATTCTCTGGACAAAGATATTGGCACCTGATTCCTAAATATTTTGGAAACGGAATGCTAAGGTGTTTAAAGTCTATGTTTAAAATATTAGCTTTTGAAAGGTATCTTTCTTCATTTTTTAGTACCTTGGAAAAATTACAAGCTGTTCAGAGTGAATTTTTATCCATTTTTGGGACCTTCCCTCAAATATGGATGAGAAGATATTAACAAAATAATTTTCAGGCATTGCATTGCATTAAACTGCCTATTGAGCTGTCGTCCTTCTACAGAGAGTGATAATGAGAATTTTTTAAAAAATAGAATTTGAGCTTTGATTTGTGGGGAAGAATCGAGAACATTTGGTTTCCTTAGATTGTTGTTTCCAGCAATTAAAGAAAAGCTTTTTGAAGTTTTTCCAAAATAAAATTATCTATCTGTCCATCTGTCTGTCTGTCTGTCTGTCTATATCTATATATTATTGAAAATTTTAGGAAAATATGGAAAAATTTAAAAAGTGCAATAAAAAGCATATGTTATTTCCACCATGAAGAAACAGCATATTGGTGTTGTGGGTGGGTATGGGTGTGGGTGGATATGTCAGTGTCTCGTGATGTCTGTCTGGCTTTGGCATCATAATATTGCCAGCCAAATGGAAGGAGCTGGAAAGTACCATCACCTCTTTAATGTCTGGAGGAGCCTGAATAGCGTTGTATTATTATATCCATACACATTTGGTGCAGCCTGCCAGATAAGCTTCTAGCCCTGATGTTTTCTTTGTGGGACTGTTGTCTCTTTCTTTGTTGAGTGAACTATAGTTGTTTGTGTCACAGAATTTACCAGGTGGTTAATTTTTTAGCCTGAATTTATTTATAAGATTCCCTTGTCATCCTTGTAAGATTTGTAAGGATGTCATTTGTCATTTCTGATATTGGTAATTTATGCTTTCTTTCTATTTTGCATGTACATTTCCCCCAAATAACTGTTTCAGTATTTTTCCATAAATTTTGATTCGTGCTGTCTTTTTCTCTATGACATACATTCTAATTTATTTTTTAAATTTTCTTTTTTGATCAGTGTGGAATATTTAGAGTTTTGTTAGCTTTTAAATATTTGAGAATGTTCAAAAGATATTTCTGTTGTTAATTTAGAATTTAGTGGTCTGGCCTAGGGATTTAGTTCAGTGGCATAAGCACCTGCTTGACAAGTACAAGGTCATGAGTTCGATCCCTGATACAAAAAAAAAAAAAAAAAATAGTGGTCAGTGAACATAGTTTGCATAAGTGCATTCAAATATGCTGAGAGTTTTTTTTTTCTGACCCAGCATTAAAATCTGTCTAGTTCATTATGTACTAAAGAAAAATATGTGATTTCGATTGGAGGGTAGGGTATTCTAGAGATGTCAGACCAATGTTTGGTTGATAGTGCTGTTCACAGGATTTTAAAAATTTGCATGAATTACCAATATATTGAAGAGAAATATTTAAATCTCTGATTGTAATTATGGAGATGTTCACTTCTCGTACAGTTCTGTTTTGGCTTATCCATTTTGAACTTTTTTTAGCTGGTGTATTAGCATTTAGGATTGTTATATGATCCTGATCAGCTGATTCTTTTATCCTCATGAAGTGACTCTGTCCTTGTTGTTGTTCTTGCTCTGGAATTTCTTTGTCTGGTGTAAATATAGTCACTGCGGCTCTTCTGTGATTCCTGCTTGCCTGATGTATCTGTTTCTACTTCCTCTGTCGTTCTCTTTCATTTTCCTTGTGCTGGAGATCAAACCCAGGTCCTCAGGCATGCTAGAAAAGCAATCTCCGTGGGTCTGTGTAGCCAGCCCCCCGACATGTCTTTATACCCCATCACTGTCTGTATATTTATGTTACTGTTGCACACATTGGTAGGCAGTACACAGCTGGGTCTCGCTTTTTTTTTTTTTTACCCAGTCTGATAATCTCTGTCTTTTAATTGAAGATGTTAAAGCCACTTATATGTAATACTATTGATACGGTTAGGTTTAAGTCTATAATCTATTTGTGTATTTGTTCCATCTGTTCTTTGTCTTTTTTTCCTGTTCATTATTGCTATTTATTATTATTATTATTTTCCTTTTTTATTGCTGTGATGTTTTCTATGGTTCAATTTTATTTCCTTTATTGGCTTGTGACTGGTAACTTTTTATTTTGCTCTGTTAGGGGTTTCTTTAAGATTCATAGTATTCCTACTTACTTGGTATTTTGTAGATGTTAAATAAGTATTAGCTTCATGAACAAATGAATAAATGAATGTCTTTCTGATGTTCCAGTTGCAGCATAGCTGAGAATCAGAGGATTGTGAATGGCCACCAGATCAGTGTTGCCTGACAATTATTCTTCCTTAGCATTTGCTCTGTCTCTTTCTCATTCTGCTATTTATGTATGTGGCTTTAATTTCAGGTCTTGATGCTCATCTCTCAAGGTTACAGATCTGTATTCTGTCCTCCCCAATTCTCTGATGGTTAAGTAAATCTTTATCCTCAGGCGGTTCTGTTTCTGGGCTCTTTGAAAGTGTGTGGGTTGGAATCTGTGGATGCAAGAGCCTGTGGCCTTGACTTATTGTGGTCAACCCCCGAAAAGTAACATATCCTTATCAGGAAAAACAGATTTTTATGAGGTACCAGATAGGAAAAGAGCTCCAAAAGAAATGGTCTATATTTAACTTTAGCTGATTTAGGCAAAGCTACCCACATGGAAAGGAAATTAAGGCTTAACAGATTTTCCTCATTCTTGGAATGCTACCAATTTTTCAAGGTTGTGAATATTTTTTTAAAAATTGAATGTTCTAATTAAAAAACAAAAATTTATGTACTTTTTTTTTCTTTTCCAGCAAGTAACTGGCAGAAGTTTTGGTGAAAAAGATTTTCGGACTGGATTAGAGAATGGAATCCTTCTCTGCGAGTAAGTATAGCTTATATCCCATTAGATGCATTTCACAAACATTTTTTAATACCATTCAGGGTGTCTGTAAAGCTTTTAGGTTTTTATTTTGAATTCACAGTTTGAATATGAAACTCAACAAAATCACCAAGCTCAGCAGAAAAAAAGTAGACGACATAAGCTTAGTGTCTAATGCGGTGGTGGAGGGAACCATGCAATTGCCAACAAGATAGAGGAGTATGCATCTGGTGGCTGCTGTCAGATCCCGCCAGTGTTTACTGTGAAGGAATTTGGGTCTGGGTGATTGTAAGGGTGAAGACCTAATTGTCACAAAGAAGGGAACTTTTCTTCTCCTTTCAACTCCCACACACCTTGCACCAAATAAACACAGCTTTTATACACTTACACATCCTAAAAACGCACCAGGTGATGCTCCTCACCAGGCCTGCTTTGACAGATATGCTTCTGAATGTGAATAGTTTGCTCCAATGGCGAAGTTCAAATGTGGGTAAGAGCTGCAAAGTTTAATTTTTTTTTTTTGAAGTTAGCTCTGCTGCAGATCACTGCTATGATGGAAGGAGAAGCATTCTGTGACGTGGTTCTCAACCCAAAATAAGCAAGAGCTTTAGTATTTATAGGTATGCATAGAAACTTAAACCAAGGCTTCAAATTTTGGGTTTATTGAATAGGTTCGATAATTCAGGTACCAGTCTTTGTCTTATTTAGATGTACATCCAATGAAATATGCTTCTCCCAAATGCATGATTTGATGAATTTTCAAAAAACGTGTGCATGGGTGCAACCCACACCCCAGTCAAGACATAAAGCAATGCTTTTCATATCCTTCCTATTGCATCTCACCGCCCCAGACAAACATGGCTCTGATTTCTTTCACCATAGAATCTCTTTCACCTTCTCTGACCTTGCATAAATGGAATTACAGAACGGACTGATTTTGATGGTGTTTCGGCTGTTGGTTTGATGTGGATGGAACAACATGGAGTTTAGAGTCTGAAAACTGAAACCGAGCCATTAACTTGTCCTCTCAAGTCTTTAACCTTCTTGAGCCTCTTCTTTTTCCCTGAATGGCGATAAGAAGTCTCTGCTCCAGCTCACAGGATTTCTGTGGGCCTCAACAGAATAATGAGTAAGGTATTTGGAAAGACTGTACAGTGCTGTATAAATGTTTATTTTTCAGAACCTTTCAGCATTGGACTTGTCAGCATTTTCCTTACCTTTCCATGGCCTTTCATGACTCAAAGAAAAATTATTGTCCTCCAGCGGCTGTTTCTACATCTTTTCTGCGGAGTCTCTCCCCACTTCTCCTAATGTCTTTCCTCACTCCCCTTTGCCCTGTATTATGTCCAGATCAGAGCTCACCTGGAGGTAAGCAGTCCTTAGCGCGGCACCTCCTCACCGCAGGGTGACAGGCTTCAAAGACTTCTGTTTTGTGCTGCTGTGCTCAGCTCTTTCCTGATTACCGACTGCCAGGAGTGATCTCATTTATGTGGACCATGCTGTCAGAGCTCAACTGAAGGACATCTTTGGTACTGGTTTTTGTTCACCTGTTTATTCCCAGGTTTTTGTAGGCATCCATCTTTCTACTGTATTCCCATGAATAAATCTGTCTGAAGGCGGAGGATGATTGCCTACCTGGTATTGAATTCTTTTGAAGACAAAACTATAGTTCTAGAGGAATTTACATGCAGAATTTGTTTCTTTCTTAACTAAAGGTGCTAGGTTAGAGGATGGAGTCTCCCTGTGTGTACACTGGCACTGTCCACAGATGCATCTTTTACAACCTGAGTGGTGAATCTTAGGGTGTTGGGGTGGAGAAATGGGGTTTAGAGTGAGGCTGTGATTGAGAAGCACATGGTCAGAGCAATACAGTTGCCCGGGACAGTCAGGGGATTCTTTAGCTAAAGAAAAGGCTTGGACTGTAGTAACCTGAGAGTGAAGCTGAAGGAGATGGCAAACATGGAGGATATACTCTGAGAAGGAGGACAAAATGACAAGTATCTAAGTCCTCTCACTGTGCAGATTTAGACTTCTTGGTGTGTTAGAAGAAGTAAGAGCTTTGGAGTCTGAGGACAAAGGACTCAGTCCTGAATTCCCCAGTGTGACTCACAGCCAGTGACTCTGCCAAGTAGGAATGAACCGCACAGGTAGCCTGAGTCTAGGAAAGTCAGGAGCAGGAGCCCCAGAATGATCATTGGAGATGTAGCTTGGTCAGGAGCCAGGGCACTCAGTTTAAACACATTTCTAAGTGTAGGGCCCATGGAACCAGAAAAATCAAAGCCATGACCCTGGAGCAAAATACGGTGAAGGTGGGGGATGATGAAGAGGATTTCCTTCATTGCCTTTATAGCTAGGATTTGTCTGAGCTAAGAGAATGGGGCTCTCACAAACTGAGATCAACAGTGTGTACCTCGTGGTCAACTGAGGAAAAAAATGGGACTTGTACTACCCCAGAGATAGAGTCAGCTTATGGAACTGGACAAAAGGCAGAAAACTCAATTGGAAGAGTCTTGGGGTGGTTATGATTCCCAGACAGAGGAACCATGCAGACTTCAAGCACTTGTCTTCAGAGAGTAGACGAGAATGGAGGTTGGAGAGAATTCTGTGGATGCTGCTGAAGGAGTCCTAGCTCATAGATGCCCCCACCTGTGCCTCAACATGGACACACAAAAGAGCTCTATGATTTTAAATTGTGAAACCTGACAGTTTGGCTCTTCTTACAGTGGGGTTTTTGCACTACTCAGCCTTCTTTTAAAAAAGAAAAAAAAAAACTATTCAGAAGAGTCTACCTCTGTATTATTCAAAATAAAAGGTCCTTGGTGCCATGGGTGACCTGCTGGCAAACCCACAGGCAGTATTGGTGGGTATTTCTTTTTCTGGCATGTTTTTGTCTGGGTTGGATTCACTGTTAATATTCATTGCAACTGGGTACAGACCCCATGCTCTTTGGCTCAAAGCCTTGGGTTGTTTATGAATGTAAAAATCTCCTAGTTCTCATCAAACAGAAGGGTGTCCTTTTATTGTCCTAGTTTCAAACTTCTCTATATCTTTAAATTGCTATTATTAAACCATTTTACAGAGAAAATAATGGAGACACAGAGAATTAATTACCTTGGCTGAGGTCACACAAATAAGAAAGATTTAAATTCATGATGTTTAATTCCTTAGCTTTGGCTCTTGACCACTGTCTTGTTTCTAGCTTTAGGGTTTTTATGAGAGAAAAGGAAGAGGTTGAGGGATGAGGCTGGAGTGAGAATTCTGTGCTAGAAAACTGGAGTACGGAGAGAGAACCACTGCATCTCACAGGACAAGGGGCCGGGAGACTGTGGTGCTGCTGTTCTGGGGAAGATGTGCGCATCAAGGGCCTGAGAAGGCAGCCTCCTGAGAGCAAGGCCATGGGAGAGCTGAGCGGACAGCAGGCTGTGGTCAGCAGAGGATGTGGGGCTTTGCATTTTCTTCAAAACCTAATGGGGGTAAATGAGAGCGGGGCACTTGCACTAATGACTAGGGTCAGAAGAGAAAAGGTGGACGCCTGCAGGCAGCATGTGAGTCAGGAAGTCAGTGGCATTAAAATCACCCTGGCCATCTTTGATTTTGCATGGTTTTGTATATGCAACCCTGTACAGTCTGTAATATTTATGCCAAAATGTATAATTCACAGCGAGTAATAGGAAGTATAACTTAGAGAGCGTGTGCCTCACCGGATTATAGCAAATGTGTTTTTCTCTCAGCATCCTGCTCTTCCTCTGTTATTTTTGTTAAGTCTGTCTAGTGAAAGTTTTCCATTAAATGCTCAAATGATGTGAGCCCTCTGCTGAGAGTTTAATAAAAGGTCAGAAGCAAAATGTGACAGAAAAGCAAATGTGTGACAAGTGTCTTGCTGTTAGAAATATTAACCAAATACTGCACCGTGGTCTTGAGATTTGAGGGTAAATGAGCCTACAAAGAGGCAGTTCCTAAAGAAACTGCTCCTGGGGAAGCAGCCAGTGATGGCCTTCTAGCCCTTTACCCAGACTAGATTGTCTGGAGAGAATTCCAGAAAGCAGCTTCTGCTGCTTTTCCTGAGTGATGTTATTGTTTAGATAGCACTCTATGGAATTACATCTAGATAAGAGGTTGGCAAATTATGGCCTTTGGCATATTTTTGTACTGGCCTTCTTGCCAGGAATGGCTTTTAGATTTTTAAAGGGTTATAAACAGGACAAAACAAAACAAAAGCAAATATATGGCTCACAAGCCCTAAAATATTTACTGTCTGGTTCTTTGCAGTGAAATTTGACCAGCCCCAAAGGGCTATGGAATTAATTTAGAGGTAAATTGTTTATGCTTAGAAAGTTAAGTAATTGAATTTGGCCTGTACATCATGCTATTTGGGTAAATTGAATAACTTATTACAAAGTATTCACTCAGGAGTTTCTTTACAAGTTTTCCCCACAACTTTTTATCTAAATAATCTTAAAATTATAGAAAAGTTATAAGAATTATATATATAAGGAATCCTCACATAACCTGTACCCACATGCAGGAGTTATTCTCATTTGGTCATATATGTTATTGTTTATATATTTATGCCTGTTTTTCCTAAACCACTGAAAGTAAGATACAGATATTTAATGATGTTCAACTCCTAAACACACTAGCATGTATCTCCTAAATACAAAGACATCTTTTTCCATAAACGTTCAAGATTTTTAGCAATAATATAGTAATATCTAATGTAAAATCTATGATTAAGTGTTCCTGGTGTCCTCAGTAATGTCATTTCTACTTATTTTTAAAAATGTAGAACCCAATCAAAGACCACCCATTGCATTTGGTTATCATTTCTCTTTAATCTCCTATACTTGAAACTTAGTATGATTGTTTGTGTCTTTTATGATATTAACATTTCTGAAAGTTCTTGATCAGTTATTTTGTAGAATATCTATCTCGCCATTGGGTTTCTCTAAGTGCTTCCTCATGGCTGGATTCAGATTAGACAGTTTTGACAAGAGTACCACATG